GGGGGGGGGAGAGGAAGAGAAGGGAGGAAGGATGGCACAAGGCAGTGGCATGAATCACTTCCAGGTTAGGAAGGTGAAGTGGACGTCCTCTGTCTGGGCAGAGCTTCTCTTAAGTGGAAGCCAAACCCACGCAGTCTGAAAAAGCGCGGCCCGGGATACGGAGAGTGAGCCCCCCTTGGGAAAAGAGGAGGAGAAAAAAAAGAGAGAGAGAGCTGCGCAAAGTCTGCCGAAGCGAGTCGGTTGGTGCTCCGAGACGAGGCCTTTCCAATGCCTCCGCGCTAGGGCTTCTCCCCACCTCCGAGCGGTGAAGGAGACCCTCGCGGGGCAAGGACGAGAAACTGCCCCGAGGAAGGAGCGAGTGGGAGGTGGGATGAGTTGCAGACCTTCGGGGAGCGGGGGGGGGGATTTCATCAGAAGCAGCCACCACTCTTTCCACCACCTCGTGAAGATACTTGGGACTTGAAGTTGGCCTTCTCACTTTGTCCAAGAATCGTTTCCCGCCCCTCTAAGGAACACATTAAGCGTGTTTGGGGCAGGGTGCGCGGGAGAGAACCTGACTTCTTTTTTTAATGTATGTTTTTAAAAATAATTATGTCGGTAATGCTAAGTTGCAACAGCCGCCTAAGCCCTGATGACAAACAGATGCATTTTTTAATAAAGCCTGAGTCGGCACCCTTTCACTTGCGAGCGCATCAAACAAGTCTCAAGGAGGGCAGTTGTCACCCTGGGTTGTTTTTCTCTCTCTCCTTCTTCTACCACGACATGCCATTAAAAGACCAAAGAGGTGGATTTAATTTAAATGATATTGCAATTAGCAGCTCGAGAAAAGTAGATCATTTTTTTGGGGCTTGGCAAGTAATTTTAATCTGTTGGTGATAGCTATCTCGGTGATAGCTCGCTGATAACTATTGTAGGTATTAAGCAGCAGGCTGAGGAAGCTACGGCGATGGGGGGGGGGGGAGAGGCAGAACCACAACAGGAGGAGTATTCTTTCCCTGAACGATTTTCTCTGGTCTCAAGCCCCTTATTTCTTAAAAAGAGAGTGGGGCGCCCTCTTATTTGATCTTATAAGCACTTAATTTTCCAAGGAATTAGTTTAGGATTAGTTTGTTTCAAGCGAAGGCGACTCGAATCTTTTTCAGCTTTCTTAAGCCAGCCCAGAGGAAAGAGAGACTGAGGGAAATAAAGAACTGGAGCTTGGTCAGTTATGTAAACCCCTTGGTTTTGTGGTAAATCTTCTTTTATCGCACTTATTAGGAAATTGTGCCCTTCCCAGCATTGCTGGGCTTTTCATCATTAGCTAAAGGGCAAACCGAACCACCCAGAGCCTCGGCCTGCAGCTTGGGAGGGAGGGAGGGAGGGGAGGCGATGCACACCGATTTTATCTGAATTTCTGCCTCCCCAAATTTTTTATTTTTGGAACCAGCCCGCTCTAGTAGTTTCAACGAAACAGATGACTTCGGCTTGCTTATTCACTCCTTCTTGAAGTAAGACCAACTGTTGCCTGCGCCTCTTTTGCATCTGATCATTAATGCTCAAAATAAAAATTAATTTGCTGCCTTACACAAGATGACAGGGATCGTCGTTTCCTTGTTTACGAGAAGGCTGTCAAGAGTGCCAAGCGAAAAGAAAGGCTGTCCCCTCTTCCTGCGGGGTATGGAGACAGTCGCTTTGATCGGGGTGATTTCCACCGCCCCCATCCCCCACCTTCGTCCGAAGCCATTACTTCCAGCAGTGGGTGTGAGTGAAAAAACCGCTGGACTTCGGAGGGTGGACAGTCCACCTCCCTTTGAAACCATGGCAACACTCCTATGGAATTCATCCTAGTGCCTTCAGGAGTCTGAAAGCCTGTGCAAGAAAACACAAAGTAATTGCTGTTATTGTCAGGTCTTGCAGCCAATTACTGTGGTTATTATTATTACTACTACTATTTATGCTACGTACTGCAAAAAAAAAAAAAAAAAAGTAATAACTTAGGATCACAGGCTACTGAAGGAACGTTGCATCGGCTCAGAGTTGCAAGTGGGTTCAAAGCCCCCCCCACCCCACCCGTTCTGGATTCCGGAGAAGGCGAGAAGTTCTTTTTCATTTGCCAATCCAGCCCTGTAGTTTCTAAAGTCCACCTTCTACAAAAGCTTCTTCTACAAAGACATGGATAAAGCGGTGGGACAACTCCTCCAAACTGACCCATGCCTGTATCCCCGGGTCTCTCCGCCCCCTGCCAGCACCAAGCCTTGCAAATGCCAGGACCAACTTGGAAGCGACCTGTCTACAAGCTCGCTTATTTTCTTGCAGACATTTCAATTAACCCAACTAGGTAAGATCTTCAGTTGGCTAATGAAATGTCTGCAAGAAAACAACCAAGCTCAGAGAGCATCAAGGACTCTTCAGTTCAACCCCGAGCTACAAAATATCTTCTTCAATTGGTACGACGGGCCTCCGTTTGAGAAGTATTTTAGATTAGGTAGATGACCTCATTAGTATTCCATTAAACCGGAGTAGACAGAACTTGAAATAAAACCTTGGGAAGGTGAACCTTTCTCGAATTCTCCCGCCCTCTTTTATCTGAGTATTACTACTACCAGTGCCACTTTTAAGCTATTGTCAAAACTCAGACTGCCAAACACCTAGCCAGCATAGAACCGACGACAGGTTCCGAACACCCGAGTGGCAGAAAGTAAGCAATTGGTTGAATTGAGTCCATCTTTGCAAAGCCATCGACGTTGGGATAGCAACCAGCCTGCATCCCGATTTTCCTCCTTCTCACCCACCCCCCACTCCCAGTGACAGGAAAATTAAAATTGATGAAAATCGAGAACAATGTGAGTAAACAGAAACAATGTAAAAAGCTAGTGCCGCTCCGTCTAAGAGCTTCAGATAATTACCCCAATCAATGCCACGCTTTACCCACAAAGAATGGGAACAGGCATCGGGTTAGGTCAAAATGACCTAGTTTACAATTCGGGCGTACTGGATTCTGTGTCTTCAAACGGACAGGTTAAGGCTTTTGAATTCCCCTAGCCCCCCTTTTTTGTTATGGGTTCAGCTTGGCCGTCTACCCAACTGAGCCCTTTTTCTTTTCTTTTTTTATGATTTGCTGGTTTTGTCCGTCCAAACCGTATTCGGTCATTTCAGTCGCTGGTGGGAGATGGTTGCTTTGTTTTTACTACTACAGGTAGCGAGGGGAGAGGTATCGGTACCACCCACAGACTCCCCCCCCCCAACCTACGCCCTGTACACAGGAAAAGGAGGATGATAAGTGACCCGAGGGGCTATTCCCATAGGCTTCCGAGACAAGGAGGACCCAATTATATGGTTCGGGATTTGAAAGGCTCAACTGGATCAATCGCTTCATTCAAGGCAGCACAAATAATCCGTTCCGTGTAACCCCAAGTATTATTTCAGTAGCTGGGACTTTCCAAGACCCCCCTCCCCCCTCGCCGGGCCATTGAGTTCAATGGACAAAATGTAACGGAGGGGGGTGGGTGGGAAATGCATGGGGGGGGGGGGGGGGGGGGGGGGAGAGAAGGCTCTCCGAGTCTTTGAAAGAGCTGCTTGCGGATCTTGATCCCCCTCCCCCACCGTTTCTGAAGACGGAGCCAAAGGGGAAGGGTTGGATGGAAGGTTCGCCCTTGAACAGAATGGATCGGAGGCGTTTCGAACCCAATCCAGGCCCGAAGGAGTTCAAAGGGCATTCAAACGCCTAAAGGGGCACAAGCAGCCCGACGCGTGGAAGGACTTTCCCCTGATGTCAGTGGAACCGCCAACCTCTCGCCGTTCCGGGGCTTTGAAGTCAAAAGCCGGAGGGTGGTGGTGGGGGAGCTTTCGGGCTGCCACTGTCTTTGTAAAGAGCAATACATCTTTCCCAGCAGGACGGCCTTTCGCCTGTTGACAAGGAAAGCGGGGGGGGGGGGTATTTTCTTTCGGTAGGATGCCTTCCTAAAGGCGTACGCGTCTAGCCCGACAACATCAGAAACGCGCGGAGCAGCCGATTCTGGCAGGGTTCGCTCCTGCTTTCCCTGAACTGACGCCGCACATTAAACTCGCCGCCTCCAGAGGAGCAACTTGTAGAATTGTACGCCCGAATGTTTTGGGTCGCAGTTAATAACTGCCTCCCCCCGCCCCCCAAAAAACCTGCAAATGTCTTTCCCTATTGGGCCTGCAAGTCTTAAAACATTGACTTCGACTATATACTCCCGCTATTCGCTTGTAGCCGCGCCTTCGCCACACGGCCAGTTGAGTTCCTGATCCAACAACCCAATAAGTTTACATTTTACTTCGGAGGAGTCCATCCCTAGAATTTCAGCAAGAATTGCAACCAGCTGCACGCAGGAAAGGAAAAGGAAAGCGCTTCTCTTTTTCTGCCAACAATGGTTGGGATTGAGAAATGCCTCCGTACTTGCTAACTACACACTGCTGCTTGATTATCGTGTTGATAGTGACAGTAATAACACTCAGCGATTCGGGCAATTAAGCGGGATTGCACAGATCGGCTTTGTTGCTTTGGCACGAACATTTTTTAGCCATCTCCGAAGTGCTGTGCACTTTCTCTTTATCGCGGCGCGCAATTTCAACGAGAGCTGTGCAGCCTTATGCGTCCGGTTTATTTGAAAAAGGGAGGGGGGAGGCCGATGTCCTTCGGTACCTACCTTCGGATTCAATGGGGCTGGCGGAAATTACGATTTCAGGTTCCGAAAGTTCTTTGCAAGTTTCCTCCTCAAACTGCCCAAAACAAAGTTGGAACGCCTGCCAAGCTTAGAGTTGGGTGTCATGGAGTGTGTGTATTTTTGTGCTTATTCGCCTGTTTTAACGAGGCCGATGGTGAACGCCTTAAATGTCATGTACTGGATGCGAATACACCGCGCAGGGCGTGGAGCAGCCAGAGGTTCAAGGGACAGTTGTGCCGGCGCTAGGGGCCGAGTAGCGGAGGGCAAGCTCCTCTTAGGATCCTTCCTCCTAGAGGCCCAAGAAGCCGGAAAACTCCCAGAACAGTTCCGCGTCGGCTCCCTCTTTCTCTCCCCCAGCCCGCCTCGCCGCCCCTCCGCTTTCTCTCTCTGCCGCCGCCGCCACCACCCCTCTCTCTGGTCAATTACAGCAGCTGGGAAATATGCGCCCTGTTTCTGAAAGTCAGTCGCTCGCTAGAGGAGGGGTGGCGAGCAGGAGGGAGCGAGAGACGGAGGGCGGGCGGGAGAGAGACGCGGCAGACAAACTAAGGCTGTTTGCAGGCGCCAGCAGCGGGGAGATGAAAGCAAACCTCCTGGGGGAAGTGGCTGTGCAGTTCGACCGGCTCCAGCGAGAGCAGAACCTGCGGGCTGTCCCAAGCAATCCCGCCCCGCCCCGCGCGCCCAGGGCAGCCGCCAGCCTGCCCGGTCGGCTTACTTTCCGCTGCTCCAGCCCCAGAGAAGTTGGGACGGGGAGGGGGCCTTCAGATTCCACCGCCCCGGGGTGACTGTCCGAGAGGGGGAGAAGAAGAGGAGGAGGAGGTTTAGGACGGGGGACGGTTTGGAAAGATCCTGAAGTGGGAAAGGGATGCCGACCGGGTACCGGCGGCGGAATTCTCCGAGGTGCCCTTGCCGTAAAAGGCGGCAGGGAAAGGAGAGAAGAAGGGACAGATGTCGGAGCCCGAATCGGACAAAGGGAAAGTTGCATCCGTATTGCATTCAATCTGCATTGAATCGCAACTACGGGGAGAAGTGGGGGGAGAGCGAGAGGCAAAATGGAAGGAGAGCTTTTTTTCAAGAGAACTGACGGGCGCTGAACCAAGTCACGTCAGGAGAAGCTTTTTTTTACTCTTTGCTGGCGGAGGCTTAGCTGGTTTGATTCCATGCTTTGCATGAATCCAGAAAAATGAGTTAAAATGAGTTAATCCAACTGCTAAATTGTGTTGGGTGATTCTGGATTCTCTCTCTCTCTCTCCCTCCCTCCCTCCCTCTCTTGCGTCTACACGCACGCACAAATTATGGTTTGTTCGTTTTTTAAAGTCAGTATAATTCCCTTCTAGCTCTAAAGAAAGCCAACCCAGGAAAGGGGAAAACGTGTGTGTGTGTGTGTGTGTGTGTGTGTAGGATTGCAGCTAAAAGCCTGTACAGAGAAACAGATCCTTAGCATACTCAGAAGAAATCCTTGGAAATCTTTGGCAATTGTGTCTTCCCAGAAATGAGTTCACACATTAGGTGAAGCAGGGTAAAGGAAGAAGCACCAAAACCACATCTTGTCTTTTCCCCGAAAGGAGTCCCCCCCCCCCTTTTTAAAGAAGCTCTCATCCTTAAAACATCAGTAGCAGATTTTAAAAGAATAACTTGCAAATCAAATGGAGACTCATCCATTTTCTCTTTGGTACCTTTCCCCCTCTCCACCAAGAAATAAATTTCCCTCCTAGGGAAAGAAGGAAATTGACTAATCTTTGGTCTTTGCAGTCTCAACAGAAAGATAAATAGTTCTTTCTCCTCCTTTCTTCCATCCGTTGAGTTTCTAAGGGCGGAGCTGCAGTCAGTAAAAGAGAGCCTTAATTATAAGTAATGTTGTGTGCATTTATCTTCAGACACACTATGAGGAGGGTGGGGGAACATCTAGGTAGGAGAACTTTGGTGCTTCTGCCTCTGCTCCCAGTTTCAAAGCTCCCCCCCCCCTGTATTTTGGCCTCCCTTGGTTCTTATTATGTATGTACTAAGTTCTAAGTTTGAAGTTATCTGCATCTGGGCAGATTCTGCACAGGCTGAACAC